TAATTTGTGCGTAGTTTGAAACTTATAATAAAGTTACCAAGTAGAATGCGCAAAAACTATAATAATCTTATGGTTGAAAACTAAATATTCACGAAAATATAAATGAACATGATTATATTTGGTATGTAACAAAGAACAAGAGATAGTGCCGAGATGAAGAGGAGAATGACCATTCACAGGTGCGGAAAGAATGGTTCTACGATAAGAGGACTGGTCATTCGCAGAAGTGTAAGGGATGAGGAGGAGTGGTCATTAATAGAAGCAAGCGATGATTCTATGATGGTAAGCGAACCATCAAAAGTCTATGTAGCTAGAACACGGGAAGGAAATTGATATGCTCGAAGATGACTTATTGTAATCTGGATCTTACAGAGGTTTTTCATTGTACTAGAAGCCGGAGTATTGGTGAAAGTCAGTTTGGTAAGAAGTAACATCATTACTAATTTGCCAACTTAATGCATATCATAATTCATAGCTTCCATACGACGATGTAATCGAACGTAAAACAAAAGAAAGACATAAAACATCTCGAAAAAACTAAGTGTAACAACTAGAGGTTTTTTTTTTCTTTTTTTATAACAACTACGAGGGTCAGCAGTGGTAGTATCAACAAACGATCAAAGTAAACTGACATATGAGCACTTGCACGACTCGCTGCATTTTTTCGTACACCGATGGCCACATGGCAATTCTTTCAGACATTTCTCTTGGCACACTGTTTCCTCGAATAGATAACAAACAACGCTAGTTGCATGACCGCATGGGAAAGTCTTGTTCTCAAAAGACTGACAAGTACCGCAAGACTAAAACGATTTCAACAACTTGCTTGGTGTTTCAATTAATTCATAATTAAAAACTTACAAGTTAGTCCATGAAAATGAAAAATTGCAACTAAGTAAAGTGATACGACACACCCAAGCAAAGAAAACCGTCTTGAGTACAATTAATGTTTCATTTGTCAAAATTATTCACATAGTTCATGTCATGTAAGTGGACATAGAATAAGTGGTACGTGAAAACTAACAAATATATACACTATTCACTTTTATATCTGTTTGAAATATTAGAGGAAATCTTACTTCACCACATAATTTTGTACAAAGATGTCGGAACAGTTTCGAGCATGTCTTTAGACAAGGATGAGTACATGTTGTCCTGTGTTCTGGATCTGTTCTGAATTGATTACTTTCAATTGATTTTTTTTTTGCTTAAACCTATATTTGTTCTTGCCGAATAGGCAATTACATCTTCCATTACATCATGTTCTCAGTTCTGGCTCTTTGTTTGCCGTTCTTTCCTTCTTTGCTTCCGTAATATTTCCTTAACTTGACTAATTTAAGATTATCATACTTACAATCACACAGCACCACACTAAAAGTTCTATCCATGGTTTGCTATTTCAAAAATGTCCCATCAGAAAATAAAATAATTAAAAGCGATCATACCGATGACAAGGTTGACCACAGATGTGACCGCAAGGTCGTACAAAATCACAAGGACAATAGCAACCACCTTCAGGAGTTTTGATTAAAAATTCATCCGCGCTGTGAATAATCTGAAGCAATAAAATTTTTTAAGGCTGGTAGGCTAAATTTAAATCAGTTGCTTAGGAACTAGATTTCAAAAATCAGGTTTTATTAATTCAAATTACCTGTGTAACATCATGCTTAGCACAAAATGCTGGGAAGCCAACGCCAATACAATCAGCATTTGCCAAAGCAATACACAGCCTATGCCAGAGAAGTGAGTTAGATCTAAGAAAGTGCATATTGCCTATCACGTAAAGACCAAGTCTGGAGCGTGACAAAGCTACACATACGCGATTAGAAACCTGAATAATAAAACTCTAATTTACTTCTTTGTCCGAGTTGATACAAAATAGAATTCAAGTGGCTTAAATTTTTTTAAAATTTTAATAAACTTCATAAAATTTCTCAACAAACGAATAAATTTAAGGACGCACCCCAAGAAAACCGATACCATTACTCGGTTGTGAACGTATAAGAGATAGAATGATTATGTCATTCTCTTCTCCTTGATAATTATCAACAGTTTCAACCAAAGGAAGACTTGAGTTGTTGAATTTTAACATTTGTGTCCTTACATAATTTGCCTGAGCTGTATAGGCACATAATAACGTGATCTAAAATAAGGAAGTGTAGCTCACATAATAACGTGATCTAAAATAAGGAAGTGTAGCTCACATAATAACGTGAGCTAAAATAAGGAAGTGTAAAATAAGAAAGTCCAGAATGATTAATATCCTTAATAGTGTGAGACGGAAAGTTTCCTACTGTTCTTGAAAAGTAAAAAGCAAAACAAAACAAACAGACCTGTGAACAAGAATAGCCCTGCTGAATAAAATAAGTAGATAAACGGATCATAAAATCGCCTTCGAATGAATTTTTATGTGAAGTAGAGAAGAGCACATCTTCCTCGTGTGAGTGGTTAATAAAATACAAATTCTTCCGACAGCCTGCAAAGAATATAAGAAATAGGGAAATCAGCAAAATTCGAATTCGTAAAAAATTGCCTTACTGTCGGAAAAACTCCGAAAGCCATAACGCGAAATTGCAGCAATAAAAAGAAGGAAGTCCTGAGCGCAAAATCATTTTCGCAAGAAGTATTGCAACAGGTCGGTTGGGTCGACGATATCGCGGTTATTGGTTTTTGGTCCCCCTTTTGCTCATAGTGTTATTATTTACCGTGTTACCGAGTTTTGAGGAACAAAGATTTAATTACCCAAATTTGAGAATATTATATTAATATATTGAAGGGATTGTATTGTGCAACAAATCTTGCGCTGAAATGGGTGAATTACCACCAGCGACTTCATCGAATGACTTGTCACAGTTAATGAGCATATCGGAACAATCCTTAGATGACCATACTCAGCAAAGGAAACAACAGTTGCAGAATCATCGTATGAAGAATGCTCTATTTGAAGTTTTATGTGAAGTTAAAGAAAATACGGCATCCGAGGAGGTCAAGATGAAGCACCAGTTTCTTCGATCCTGTATTGTTTCGGTAATTCGCGAATATTCATCGCTGCCTTCATAAAGATATCCTTTACTTCGTGATATTTATGGCTTCCCTCGCTCCGTTTGCTGACAACATGACGTTATCTACATATAAATTTCTCCTGATCTCTAGTGCTGTCTGTTTGCGATCGTTTCTAGATGATGATTGAGTATTATTGCTAGCAAAAACGGTGATGATGTTACTCCAAAAGGAACTCTTCTAAGACGATAACATTTCAGGTTTTCCTCGGTAACAGCATGTTTAATATCATTTACTCAGAGAATCTGGTATAGTTCCTGTCGGACTGATGCAGTGCTAATTGTAAAAACGCCTTCTCGACATCGGCTATGATTACATTTTTCATAATTCGAAAGCGCAATAGTATTCCTACTAAATCTGGACTGGTGCCTCATCTTGACAGCCTTCATCGTATTTCAGTCGCTAGAATTACCCTTATGACATGAATTAAATCGGTCAAAACGTTGGAACATAAATTTTATCTCTGACAGCAGATAAGCGTTTCAAATATTCTCATTTTATGGTGACAAATATATCGTTGTTGTTTGAAAGAAGGCATAAATAAGGAAAAAACAAAATGAGTTGGAATGGCACGATGATGTGCGATGTAAAGCCAACTATTTCTGAAGACGGTGCTGATCTTCCATAGGGATCTGGCACAGAATCGGCGATTTATCGGGTGCGACTGGTGATCAGAATCGTACAGAGCAGTTGGTGGTGAATATGCTCGATGAACGCGATAAATTACTTGAACAGATGCAAGATGCTCAGCGACGTATCGACGACCTGCAGCAGCATGTGAAAGATACCGAACGTGATAAGGAAAGCACGCGTAGACAATTCGACTTGCAAACTCAGCACTTGCCCGGAGAATTGCAGTCACTAACCAAGAAACTGGCTCAATTGCGTGAACAGTTATTAGAAAAGGGTGAATTGTGTAGCTGAAGGCAGAGGTTGGTGTGAGATTCGAAAAGACGGAAATCATAACCTGCGAGGTTAACGTAATGGAGTACCTTACAAATAAACTAGAAGTGGTCACAGTCGACGACAAAAATAATGGAAAAAAACAGTGGAGAAATAAAATGGAAAAAATGAAAATAAATCTATAATGGAAAGAAAAAACTTAGAAGGCTCGAAATACTTATTGGCGTCAAAGACCTCTTTAAGTTCATCAAACTAGATGGAGCACAAGAACTGGAAGCAGGATTCCTGTTACTCAGGACAAAACTGGGACCAATGCTAGCCGGAAATGATTATATAAATATTTGCAAAGTAAGTGCTACACCAATAACCTCAGCCGTATCATGCATGGCTAACGTAACGAGCCACGATGAAATCGACCAGTTTTGGAAGTTAGAACTGATGGGCATTCAGGACCAGCCGAACGAAAACGATGATAAGCAAGCCCTTGAGCAGTTTAAGAAAAGTATAACGAAGCAAGACGGGAGATACTAAGTTTGCTGGCCTTAGAAAGACTCAAAAGATAAATTAAAAAGCCATTATGGACTATGCTTCGGACGTCTTAAAACCTTGATCAGAAGACTTCAGAACAATGAACAGATACTTCGACAGTACAACGAAACGATTAAGGATCAACTGCAATTAGGCATAATTGAGGGACTTCATCCTGATATGGATCAAGAGGGTATAATTCACTATCTACCTCACGAGGTAATATCCCATTTTCGTCACCATTGTAACATTCCCCCCCCCGCCAACAAAATTCATGTCGAATTCCGAACCATGCTCCAAAGCATACTCTTTTTCAGCAATCAATTCCGGATCGGTGATATCACCACTGAAAGCTTAATGTAGGCTGTAAACACAGCAGTTCAAATAACTTCAAGAGGCTTTACCTTTAACATCTGGATAACTCAAAACATTGTCGGCATTTTTCATTAAAGGATAAAATTCCGGCATAAAAGTATTCGATATAGCAGGAGCCATACGATGCTGCCTTTCCAGTACCGCGTATGGGAAATTATTTCTGATCAACCTTTCAAACAATGATATATCCAATTTATACTCACGAGCAAGAGCAAACACCGCTGAAATAAATGATTTACGTTAACCTCATATAAAATCAGAGGTCATTGAGAATTAAGTGAAAAATATGCTAAAAATCAAGCAAAAGTTAAATATGTAGGTAACCAGATAAAAAGGAAATTTCTATATGCAATGCACGCAAGTCAACTTCAGCTGGTGATAATTAGCTCAATTTTGACAAATGCATTAAAAAAACCAACTGTAAGATATGAATATGTACTGCTTATTTTTATGGATTCGAACAAGGAAAATCGAACGCAGTCACTCCCCAAATTATGCAGCCTATGGCAAATGATAGCCGATTTGTGAATGTACAATCCTAATGCGTACATCAAAGCCAGTGAAGTTTACTTTTAGGTGTAATTCCATACCAGGATTTGGACGTAACTGCTGATGATCTCCAATCAAGATAGCATGCTGACATTTATTTGTAATGCTTGTCAAAACGTGAGCTTCCAGGACTTCAGCTGCTTCTTCCACTATTACAATAGGACAACCAAGACGATCCAAAAACGGTTTCATTTTTGCAGCGCAAGTTGTAGTTGCGCCGATAATCTACAATACAGATAAAGATTCCAAAACTGTGCAAAGTCACAAGTGTAGTTATGAAGAATTTCTGAAATCAGAAAAGTATTATTTCCCACGGGGAGTATCTGAAATTGAAAGTAGAACACAAAAACCACAAAAACCAGAACACAAGTAATATAAGTTAGTTTATCAGTAAAATTCTTTGTGAAGAAACAATCTTTGTATATGTAATATAAAGAATCAGTACCAGTGCCTTTCGTAGAACGACTTCATCCAAAAGATCGAATTCCTTGTTAACTTCCTCCATAACAGTTTGATACTTACATATGAGAATATCCAGTTTTTTATTTACAACAACCTTAAGTTTACCGGTCCAATGCATATATAAAGCCCAACGACGATGTCTGTGTAAAGTTTGCAGGTTTTTGACAGATGAAGCTTCCTCTAATGTCAAAGGTGAACTCTGAAAAATTTCAACACTTTACGAAAAGTGGAATAGAAGGGGTTTAAAACTTTTCGTGAAGGATTTTTGTTAAAAAAACTTAGTAGAAAATTTGAAAAAAAAGAAAATTTTGGTTAATTACGTTAAGTTAGTATCCAATTTAACTACTTTACAAAATAATAGCTTTTTCCAGTGCAAAATTTCTGGATATACGGAAGAATTGATTTAAGACAAAAAAGAAAAATTAATGAAATAAAGCTGACTTTTAATATATTAGCCTTCACATCCTTCAGATCTGCAATAAGCTCGGCACCGTATTTTGCCTTAAACACTGCGAAAAGTCTAATTTTTGAAGAACAAAGAAGGACAGTAATCGACCTTTAAACAAATCATACTTAACTAAAAATAAATGCAAAAGGTTCAACAATTATTACATTTGCACGTTGCTTTAATTTGCCAGACATTTGATCTGAGAATATTGTTACTGGTTCTATGGCGGACGCATTAGGATCTTTATCAAGATCCCACTCACCAGAATGATAATAGTCGTCTACATCTGAGTTAATCCTAAGCAGTTCCTAAAAATTCTTCACTTAATATTTTCACATACTTTTTCAATGTACTTTCTGGCAGCTACACATATTTGATCATCTTAAAAAACCCATAAATAAAACTGATGTTTTGGTTTTCATTTGAAACAAGGAACAGACAGATTCATTTCTTACGCTGATTATTTTAGTCAAGAACCAATACAGATTTGAAAAAGACATTGGAACCGCGAAAAAATATTCAAAGACACTAGTTTATGCCATTTTTTTAAAACACCAGTTTTTTTAATTTCTACTTCTATTGCAAACATATTTTGAACTCTTATACTTGGATTCATCATAGAAACAAACCTGCATTTCTTTCCAAGCTATGCAATCATTCTGTGGGACTGATCCAAGCATTTCTTCTTTCCATTCGTTGGGAAATGCCCCATCCATGGACCAGAAAACTGATATTTCCGGATTGTCATTTCGGGAAAATTTTCCCTTCTATAAAGGAATCTTAATTGCAAACTACTATGCAAACTTTAGAGTTATTAGCACAATTTCAATAATTTAAGTATTTTGTTCTAAGGCGACAATTACCTTGCTGTTTACCCACCATGTTTAATATCTAATGAGTATTAGATACACCCTTCGTCCAAATTTTTTACCTTACAATTTTCATCTGCATCGTATTCTATACTGACACAATCTTCCCTACCAGAATCACCTTCCAGAAGCCATCTAGAGAATATTTCATCCATCTAAAATGCGAAAAAAGATCAAATGCTAAAATTCAGCATTTATAATAGCATAATGCTGATGAATTATAATATTGCAAAAAATGCAATTTCAAATTTTAAATTTAAAGATGAAGTGAATTTATGAAAAAAGAGAAACGCTAAAGAAATACGAACAAACAAAAGCGTGAATTATATATAAAATACAACAACACTACAATTAATTGAAATACTGACTGAACATCCTTTTCCCATGGTCTGTCGTTGCATATTGAATTGTTGGATATGTTCTGGTAACATCACCTGTTGCATGCATTTGAAAGATAGAATTTCATTCTTAAGAAGTGTTAGTACAGCGACTTGAGACCGAATCATTTCCAATAAATGAATTCTTTTCAACTTTATTCGATTCACCTATAAAATTTCATTATTACAATATCACAAGCATACAAAAAATAAAAACCCGACAGTCCTACAGCCACAAAAAAGAAAGAAGCAAACAGCAACCTTGAGCTTTGCTGCATCCGAAATTAAGTTAGTGTATGCTTCCAACACCGATCGTTTTGTGTACCTGCAAATGAACTGTAACCTTTTTATAAGTTGAATGTATTTGTAATGTAAAACTGCAGTATCAAAGTTGTTTTTGGAAGAAATGTTAAAAGTAAACAATACTTTTTCACACGTACCTTCATAATGCTTTTATGTAAAATTTTTTACTCTTGAAGTAGAATAAAAAGTAATGCACCTTTTTAAAATTTCACTTTTACATCGCGAACCAAATCTAACAATATTAGGAAGTTCGTCACTGTGACGTTTATCTTGTATTAAATCTGCTAAAACACCATCCAAGAACTGATCCAAAGCATGATTGGTGAAGCATACAACTAGTATAGGATTTATTCGCTTTGGATTCCACATATTCATATTTTCCAGCAAAATGCGTACAATAAGGCGACCAAGAAAAGTTTTGCCTAGATTTACGACAATTGCTATTCAAGCAAAATCAGTCACAATCGACAATATTTCAAAGTTTGGTTTTATTCGTGACAGCGCTCTATTAGTGATTTGGAAGAAAAATAAAACTGTGAATTATTCATAGTAAGAATAAAGATACTTATGAAATGATAAATAACAGTTAAGAAATGACAAACAAAGAATTTAGGCAACTGAAAAAGACCTCTATATTGCTTCATTGAATGACTGGCAAAAAAAAATCCCCGACCCAATCTATTGAGTACCTATTTTGTGTTAATCTTGAAAAATCTTGAAAAGAAACGGATTCCCACTTCTCAAGTTTCAAGTTTGCATATTCCTTCCGGTGTCCCTAATTCTCTTTCGTACATATGCGTGGCAACTTCTTTACGCCTGTTACTGCAGCCTATTCCAGGTATAAATTCCTGTTTTCATTCAGAATAAATTGAAATTATATTAGAAACGTAATCTGGATTTTATATACAACAAAAGAAACAGCATATAATTTTGCGAAAAGATATGTGGATCTTTTCCGGCTCCTCAACTTCTTTTGTTTGTTATTTCCTAGCTGTTTTTTTTCTATACCAACCAAGAGCAATAAAATGACATAGATGAGCTAACCTGTACCCGGAGGTCCCTGGATCAATGCAAATTCGTGCGTAAGAGCGTAGCATAACGCATTTCGTTGAGCGTCGTCTAATCCAGAAGCCACTTTATTACCGTCAAGCGTATATTTTAATTTATCCACATTATATTTCGCTCCAAAAATGCTTATTTCTTTAGCAATCACAGTTTCTACAGAATATTTAAAAATTTACTAGTTATTGTAAAACAATGGAGCTGTTCAATTTCACAGATATAAAGTGAATTGTTCTTTCATGTTATCTAATCTATCTTATCCGAAGAAATGGTTCCTTAAAAATTTGAAAGACAGATTTCCAAGTTTTCAGAATTTCAAAATACTGCTACAAAAAACCTAATAACGACTTGAAACATTTTACCTTCTGATAAAATGGAACCCACCTTTGGTTAAAGAAGAAAACTCATTATAGTCGGTATATTCACTGTTCAACGAATCCGAGGAACTGTGAGAATCCTTGTCTATTTGATGAACAAGGTATGAAGGGAAGTGAACATCAGTTTCAGTTTTCAGCAAAAAACGACCAAAAGGAATCTCGTAATTGTTATTGAAACGCTGGAAATTCGTCAATATTAAGCAGTTTTCGCAGCCCGTTTTTTCATGTTGATTCGAATTAGGTGTTTTTCTAAAGCCTACGGATGTTATGAGTTCATAGAAAAGATATAAAAATAACTAAATTGCTGTTATCTACTTTCTCTGATTTAGTGCGAAAGAAAAAGATTATCCCTTACAGAATTAACTTCTGATTTCCACAATGTGACTATATCTTAAAATTTTCTGACGCGGAGAGTTAAAACCCTTACTGATACTTAGGCTGGTGCACATTTGCGTTTTAAATATGGCGTTGATAGCAAGAGTATAATTTCATTTGGGCAAAGATTACTCTGTATCAAATACGAGCTTGATTCAACCATAATATAAAGTTTGGTTCGTGAAAACTGAGTGATCATCGAAAAAACATAATTTTTTATAATTTTTGTTAACAACTTGCATACTCATTTTATGAAGAATACAGCAGTACCTTAATGCATTCCAAGACATAATGATACATTTCATAATACGAGATCGATTCGACTAAAGTGTAAATTTTGGCTCGTGAAACTGAGCGATCATCGAAAAAACGTAATCCCAATTTTCCTTTTAAAAATTCAGTGGGATCATTCTCAGCAACAGTAGCAAGTAAGGCCTCATCTGAAACTCAACACTGTATGATTTCGATTAACAGGAAGTTATGTACCATAATCGTAATTTTTAGTGGCAAAAATGGGAAGGCAAGAAAAATGAGAATTTGGAAAAATAATGGAAAAAGGAATAAACAGTAATAAACTAATTTACTTGCAATAACAACTGCTGATAAGAAAGCATTTCAGAGAAAGTTTTTAAAATCCGCTCCCTTAAATGCTAAAATTATGGATATAAAACTGCCACTAGCCCTGAAATTCGTCGCTTGACAAGGTTACCAATTGTCCATACTTAAGTCGTGAACACCAAGAATTATCAATGCTCACTGGCTGAAAATAATCTTTAGTTACCGGCTTTCCGCTGTTAAACACCAGAATTTAACGCAATATCCAATTATGAAAACCGAATTCATAATTCAAGTTCAAAGTTCGGTCATAATGATTTCAACCTGAAAAATAACGTAACGAATAATTTCTCCTGTGCTTCGTTTTAGTTGCGCGCCTTCCACACTAACACCTCTTATAACCAACAGGTCAAGTTCTTCACTTGCATCCATTGTATATGACAAAAAAGTTTCTACAATGAACATTTACCAAATTTGGGTTTTGTAATTTTAAAAGTTGCCCCTAACGTAAAATATATTATTCCCATAACTGACAATATTCACAGAGAAGTAATGTCCATACGAAGAACTCCTGACGTATTTCCAAAAAGCTATTAATGCCAAATTCATTTATAGCCTCACTGCGACCTTTTCCTTTTTGTTGTTTCCATAACTTTATGCCGTCCCGTAATGGAGCAACCAAATCTTCACGCATAAGACGAAACTGTACATCGAGATAATGTTCTTGATTTGAATAATTTCCTCTAACAATATTTTTTCGAATATAAGGTCGAGCTATAAAGATGTGTTATACTGCAAAATATATTTTCAAAACATTTGCAAATACCACATGATAAGACTGCCGAAATTCGTATGTTTAGGGACATGCATTCTTGATGATCAAACAGTGTGCAACAAACCACTTTCTGAATTGGCTGAATAATTGTGAAAAGAGTCCATTTAAGTTCAGAACATTTTTACTTCTACATATTAGCAACAGTACTACATTATTAATATACAAACAGTTCTGATAATAATGTCCGCCATAAATATTGTACCTGGGTGAAGTATATCATTGCTAGTAGCGTAAACTGACAATGTCCGGAAATCTTCTGGAGGTTTTACGTCCTCATAATTGATCCATGCTGGACTATAATCTTTACTTTCGCACTCCTCGATAAGATCAAGAGACACTCGATTATCAAAACATTTCATACTGCTGTCCATTACATTAAATTCACGGTTTTCATGCAAATCTATTGCCAAAGATTCAGAAATATCGATCTAGAAAAGTTTTCGGCAAATTACAACCAGTACAACTACCATGCAAAAGTATGGGAATTAGAAAAACCAAACAATTGACTGTGTAATTAGCCAGCAATGGAATAATGTAATGTCCGGCAAGCGGTTAATAAAAACGGAATATTATAGAACAAGAAATAGTTGCAAAACGAACGGTTAAATTCTGTAACATTGTGAAAATCGTTAATTGAAGTCTTTCATCGATAGCTGACCAACATTTTTCCGGAATTAACTCCATAAAATTTAGAAACTCATCACATACAATATCCTAAAATACTAATGTCATATTAGCAATGCTAGAATTATAAGTAAATAATTATTTCAAAAAACAAATAAATAAACAGCAAAGTTGATGTTGCTTGTGAAAATGGAAAGAACTCACGAAATCTTGAATGTGATTAATTTTTGAAATGTATAATATCTGCATAATGTCTTGAAGGTAAATGAAAAGAGTTCTACAGCATTCGTCATTAGCAACACTGCGTATATAACATGCATTCTCACGAAGCATGAAAGAAACAAAACTGAAATACAGAAGACAACTAGATATATTTGTTTTCAAGATAGTTTCGGGTGGACATGGTCTACGGAAGAAAACTGAAAATTAACCCCGATTTGAGAATCTTCTCCACAAAATTAACGACTGAAGTTTGAAGATCTGGAAGTTCTGTAAACGAAGCAACTGAAAGAATGGCAAGTAGTCGGCCATTTTGCTCTTTGTCGGCGAATGGAATACGTAATCTATTATGCAGCATTGGAGTATCGATGTATTTCACCTATAGTAAATCGGTCAGGGAAAATTAATCCCTCATATAAATATTCTATATAATGGATTATTAGAAGAAAGCATCCCTATCATCAAAACATCGTTGTATTTCAACCTAAATTCGAAAACAACATTTTTTGCACTTCACTCCTCATTTAAAGTTTAATAATGTTTTACATGTGGAAATAATTCAAGACTAAATATAAGTTTAACACGTGGAAATAATTTAAGACCAAATCTAAGTCCTTCAGTGGTTTTTCCAATTTTCGCAAATCTAAAAAAATATTCTCAATATGAACAAAATCAAGTGGTAGCTGATCTCCATTGATTATATGTTCTTCGAGGTTCCCGTAACCTGAAATAAGTAATTCATTACCAGTTTAATTACTTTGTTTGCATACCATCTATCCTGAAAAAACCATCCACTGGAACTATTTAATACTTTATACCAAACAATACCTATATCTCTTTTATTTTGCTTCATAACAAGCATGATAATACGAAAATAAGCATTAAAAAAAATATCTAATAAAGAACATAAATATGTCTAATAAAAAAGATACGGCCAAGAGAAATTCTTCACTTGATAGTTTTTCCTGTTCAACTGCTTCAATAACATTTGTTTTGACTGATTCTGTTCTCTCTGTACCCTCAGAACCAAATTTTATTTCTGACCAAACTGAAGACAGATTACGACTACGACTCCCGGAAACAAAGATTTTGGAAATTAGTTAGCACTCAAATTTTTGAAAATGGAAATTTCGCAACGGAAAAAATCAAAACTTTTCTACAACAATATTCCAGCAAGAAGAATTCACCTTCGTAAAATCTCCTATTTAAAAGTTCACAAATTTCTTTGATCCAACAGCATATTATTTTTTCAGTTCCATCACGTGCACAACAAAGCAAACTATCACTTCTCTGTGTATAGAGCAAGACGTTTTCTTTCCAAGCTCTTCGCATTTTCTCCTCTACTTCGTTCGAATCTGAATAAACAGAGAACGGAACAAAAAATTATTAGAAATTGAAAAAAAATTACATTGAAAATTATGTTAGTGAGATATGAACACTGGAATAGTAGCTCTATTCCAGAAAGTTGGGATGGTAAGTGAGTGAGGACAGTAGGATTAAAAAAATATCTTTGTGAAGAAAGAGAACAATTATTTAGCAGAATATGAAAGGAAAGATAGTATTAAATGTATTTCTTCTTTAGCTTCCAATCCAAAATTCTTAAAATTGCCCAAATTTTGCAATCTTTTCATGCTAAACGACAGCGATAAAGTTGCAGAACTTTACGATGAACTGCCATTAAGAGATATAACAAAGAATTTGGGTAGTGATAACAGGAACAGGATTAGAAAGCTTAAAACTAATGAGCAAAGTGAGGAAAGGAAGTGCCAAAGTTTCAGTGGCAATATTTTCAGCAACAATGATTCCCACAGGATAAGATATCAATATCAGATCAGTTGTTTCGTACAGGTTAGATTGAAACATATCTTAATTTGGAACTTATTGTTTCTGATGATTCAATCGAATTCAATTGCATTAGAATTTATATTAGCAACGTCCTTCTAGAAGACACAAAAAAGATGGATACCACTATCATTGAACAACATCACAAGCATCACAACTTTGTCCGATTCCAATTCTTCGAACCATTCTTCGACTTCACTTTGTACCATGGCCATATTTTTGGTAAATAGAAAAAATGGTAACTGCACTAAATCCAATCCCAGCTTGGAACTGTTGTGACGAAACATATTGGCGAAAGAGCTAAAAAGGAAATTTAAGAATCTTACCACTGGCATGCAAATACTGCTTTATCAAGATCTTCTCAATGCTGTTCGTATACATTAAATTTCGAAACTATTATTTAGCAAGAATAAAAATCTCCATTTATGCTTGTTTTTGTTAATCTGAAATATTCCAATTCCGCACATACCCCCAACATAACGTAACCATTCCCATTAGTAATAAGCTATACAAATAACGCACCGCATCATTTCATGTGTGATTCTCCCTTTGTTGTTCTCACCAAAGACGACAATTCCCCACTCATACTCCGCTGTCGAACTCATCACACCTGCAACGTTCATTCTACAGGCAAAAACAAATTTCAAATTTCTCGAAATAAAAGCAATACTAAACGTGAATCAAATCAATGGCCCAATACTTTCTACCAGTAATCTATGTGAAAATTTGTCAATCTCTGTTTGGCGCACTTTATGCTGGAATAGTGCGCGCCAAATATTAGGTTTTAGAAATGTTGTAAGTTAATTGGTTCAGTACATAGTGTTTGACAGAGGAAAAAGATTCGACAAGGAGGGTATCAAATTTGCATGGTCGGGAAAGGACAACGTGAGAGATTCCTGAGGGGATGAACTCAAAGTATAAGTACCATACAAAACTTTTCATTGGAAAAGGACTAGTAAGAATTTAATATAACTGAATGGACAGTACAATCTGCCCCTATATTGCATACAACACTGAATAAAAACCAAAAAACCGTTCCTGTTGGAAATAATAAATAAATGGAACAAATCCAGCTACTGTAAACGCCATGTCGCCGATTTTCTTCAGTCGTGACAAACTGAGGGTTCTTTCTGCCTCTTTAGTTGATGGTACCTCAAACTTGGGTAATTAAACCTTTTATTACGATAAATTTATTCAACAACGAACTTGCAAATATGACATTGATACAACAAATTAATAACAAAAACTAAAACGGAAAGATTAAATCACGCCCGATATCTTATATCCAACCGACCTCAATGAAACACATTTGAAAAAATGGATTAGTGCTCAGGACTTTCCGCTTCTTCGACTGGGAGTGTCCTTGTACCTTTTATGATTACAAGAATTAGCATCTTTATGGAGCACCCACTCGTGTTGGGTTATTTGTTAGAGCAAATATAAGACGATATGAGCATATAAATCAAAGATGTCTGAGTTTCAAAAAAGGGGATTATTGTCCCTTTTTTTCTACTCGCGATATCAGCGACACTCCCAAGGCGAACGTGGTCTACACCTTATCCTCGGTTGGAAACCTCCAAAAGATAGAAGTGTCCCACTGCTCTCACTAGCTCTTTTCCGTTATTCTTACAACCGCTGATCGACATATATCATCTTTGCCCCTTATGAATCTGTCGATTCTTCTCATTCTCCAGGTATTTCTGAGACAGTCTTTCAACACCAGCTCAATTTCGGGTTCTCGTCGAATACGGCTACGAGGCTCTCGGTGTTTGTGTTGAGCTCGTTTTCTTAGCTCTTCTAGGTATTCTTCTCGCTATATTTTCCATAGATGATCAAGTCTCTTGCATGTCATGTATTGATGTTTCAGTTCCTTCATTTGTAAATTTTCTTCCCCGCATATCGTTTTGTCCCTGCAGTAAGCCTTTTCTTCTGTTAAATGTTCTCCTCGAGCTGAGCCCGAGCTGAACCTGGATCCAATAAATCCCCAGGTCTTAACACTAAACCTATTCCAGGTCCAACAAGGGTTTTTCATTGATAATCGCTTCAACTTCGGTGAATAAAGTTATCAATTCTCCGCTGTTAAGGAACTTTGTACCGATAGCTTCTCTTAGAGATCCTTTAACTACTCCAAACATTCTTTCGTAAATGCCGCCCTGCCGAGGAGCGCCTGGAATAATGAATTCCCATTTCATTGTTTCATTTTCCCCTGTACTTAATTCTACAAGTACTTTGGAAGCTGATATAAGGTTCTTGGCATTATCGGAAATTATGTGTTGTGGTTGTCTCCTTCGGCTTGTAAATCCTCGGAATGCCTGTACAAATTGTTCAGTAGACATAGTTTCCATTACTTCGAGATGCACAGCTCGAGTGGCTAAACATGTAAACAGAGCCACCCATCGTTTGGTCTTGGCATGATCCTCCTTTATTAGAATTGGCCCAAACAGGTCTAAACCAACTGTTTCGAACGGTCTCGTCCCTACAACTCCAGCAGCCGGATAAGGAGGAAAGTCTGGTTGCTCAAATGGCGTAGCCACCCACATAGTACAACCTTTACAAATCTTTCTCAAAATTTTCTTGATATATGACCGCCCATGGGGGATCCAATACCGTTGTCTCATTTTGGACCAGGTGTAGTGCACGCTCGAATGAAATAATTTCTCATGGTAATGCTTCACGATCAGTTCCGCTATCTTCTGTTGATGAAATACGAAAAATCCTCAGTTCGAGGCATAGCCTTTCTAAGTCTTCCAACACATCTTCAGATTCCATTCTGGTCTTTTCTTAAACCCCAGTGTTCGATTTCCTCTTGCATTATGTTTAACTGTGCCATCTCGACTATCAATTGCATTACCTTGTCATACTCATTGGATGCAAATTTCTCTCGGAAGAACCCTTCCAAACTCC